TCCCTTTGCCACGCGCGTATATACCAACAACAACAACACAATCGACACACAAGCGTGATTAACGCTGCGTGGGAAGGGAAAATAGTGAAATATAGGCGACGTTTCGGGCTAGGGCCCTTCTACGTGGCGCGCAGAGCTGTGCGTGCCGGTTGTTGTTTTTTCCGCGCTGCGTTTTCTCTAGATGTGTGCACAGTTGTGCTATGAAAAAGGGCCATTGTGTCCGACGTGTAGATTAATACGTTGACGTCTCAATTTTAAGGGCGATTTTTTGTTAGTTTTGTGTGTGTATCCACCACCACAAATGTGTTTAACATACAGTACACACTTCCACTCAGCCAAGGACTGCGTGTCGTTTAAGAACACGTGCCCATTCCACCCCACCCCCCAAAGTGAATTACGCACGGGCGCGTAGATTAATGAATGCACGCATGTCCCTAGCGATCGTTTTAATTCGCATGACTATTCATCCAGATTCATAACGTCGTTTGGGATTCTTGCAGTTGTCCGTGTTTATCGTAGCGCGTCGTAGTAAGAATGCTCGCTCACAGAACCTTTGCCAATCCACCTCTGGATAAATGGGTCGAGCCGTCCATAAGGGTCGTTTTGACCATACTTCACCACGCTGGTGGGGTGGATGGAGGAGCCATGCAGGACCGGTTCAGATCATTATCATTCGCCGTCGACCTTTGTTATCCGTGGCCGGAAATCGAGTGCGCTAACCATTGTACCACCGCTCTACGGACGAGATTCGACAATTAAAACATTGTACAGGAATGTGTGTTGCGTGAACATTGTTTTACGCCACCACATTAGCAACAAAAACAATACACATTTCACTCGTGAATCATTGCAGTTTAAACAGCTACAAGCGTAGCTTTTAGTATGTACTAACAATGTAAACTTCTCAACGACTCACGCAGACTATCTTAGCAGGACGGAAAACTGGATAAAGTGAGCGCATGTGACGACATTGAACTTCTGTATATGTTTTTCGTGGGTTGATGTAAAAAAAAAACCAAGTGTCTTTGTTTCATTCTAAAACATGATGCCTTCTGCCGTGATCACACATCATAATTATTCAGCAGCGCGGAGTTGCATTGTTAGAGAGGGACGCGTGAATGCCGTCCCCACTCCACGCGTGCGTGCTTTATTTCCATCTCATAACATTCTCAAAATGTACACTAAACATTCTCACTACAAAGACAAAGATCCCCCGAATAGCCTTTGACGGACTTAGCGAGCACCTCTGAAGGCCGACACGGCGCGCGTGGGAGTGGGTGGCCAACACCACGCCCGGCCGCCTTTGTCTCCCGAGTGGCGATGTTTTGACACCGCACTCGGTACGCATTTGAGGCCGAGTCGACCTTAGGGGGAGGCCCAAGACTGGTTCAGATATTCGTCGCTGGTGTTGGCCGTGAGCGGGAATCGAACTCGGGTCGCCGGGTTCGTAGCGCAGCCCACATTCTCACCACACACACGGGTGTAAAGAGTTCACCATAATCATCATAACATACAATATACAACTATTATATATTCGTTATCAGAACTACTAGTAACAATGATGATTATCACCATCATTAACATTATCCAGCTACCTTATTAAATCAACAATTATTACCATCAATCAGCACAATCATCTATCATATATATGTACCAAATACATACTCATCATCTATAATATCCGTCCTCTACAATATCCATCATCGTTATCATCGTGAACTCGCATCACCTTATTGGCAATTCATGTATCACCTTGTTGGCAAGTCGAATCGATGCAGTGAATTCTGTCTGGTTAATTATGTATTTTCACAGCCCATGTCTAAGCTGGGAAAGTCAGCTAAGTCGTGTATTGTATGCCAAGCTTTTGTTCATGCGAGCCCTTATTAGCATATTAATACCCGTTTCATAGTACGTGTCATCCCGAGCCAAAGTAGCCTCACCCCTTCCTCGCCTGCTCTCATCACGCTCGGTTTATTCTGGAATAAACTTTCCCCGATGGAATCGCTTCGCGCCAACTCGCCCCAGCTCCCCACAGCCATCTCTCCTTTGTCTCTCTGGTACTAATTTTAATCTCTACCCCCCCCCCCACTCATCCTCCTCCTCCACCACTTGCCCAACTCTCTCATCCTAATTAAATATCAGCACTTGTTTATTTATCGCGTCTTCAGCTCATTATGCATAATCTCATCACACATTCATGGGGCCCGAGTCGCAAACTGGATTTGTGAGCATGGCTGTATTGCTTTGGTCAATTGGGGACAGGGGGTGAACATCACGACGTTAGTGTTTTTTTGAGCAACTGAGAATATATGTGCTATGCAGAAGCACCATTGCCCGAAACGTTGCCCTATTATTAACAGTTTTTTTTTACAGCGGTGTTATTGACGAATGTGCTAAGGGGTTTTGTTTTTGGTAACGTGTGCTTGTGTACCACCGTGATTGCTAACGCAGAATAGCAAAATACTACTTTAATGTAACATTTACACGTGATGCAGGACAGTGATATATATGTAATTGTGAGATGAAATATATTGGCAATCATTTACAAATACACCTACTAAGTGACAACGCATGGAATTAATGTAGACATATCAGCACACACACACACAGCAGTTATTGAATCTATTTGTGTGGAACTTTGAGCGTTACCTCCCTGCACGAAGGAAAACAATAATTCATGAAATTGGGCACAACATCAACCCGCCCCTGGAGATACGTCTGGAGACGCAGCGATGGCCTGGTGGGGTAAAATAACGGCCGTGATTACCGGTGACCTATTCTCGGCTTTGATGTATTCCACCTCCCTCCTGCCCTGTATTAAAATACAGGGGATGCTACGGGCAATGCCTTGTAATCAGTACGCGCGCGCGCGCGTGCGTGTGTGTGGAGTGGTGGTAAAACGGTTAGCGCGCTGCGCCACGAACTCGGCGATCCGAGTTCGATTCTCGCTCGCGACCAACACCAGTGACTATTATTTTGACCGGTCGTGGGCCTCCCCTAGGTCGACACGGCCTCAAATGAGTACCTGGTGCGGTGTGTAAACATCGCCACTAGGGAGACAAAGGTGGCCGGGCGTGGTGCTGGCCACCCAACCCATCGTGTGCCGTGCCGGCCTTCATAGGTGCTACTCGCTAACACCACTTGCCCCAACAGTCTATTAAGGCTAGACGGGGGATCTTTGTCTTTGTGACCAGATTTGTCTATGCTTTTGACACCAGGCACAAGTTTGGGCGGAACGCGTCTTACAATTTCGATCACACGGTTCTAATTACTTTTTTTCTGCAGGTGCGTTGACGATTACTACTATTTATTTTTTCTACGCGAGGTGCATTTCCTGTTGTCTTCCCCAAAAGTATTTCATTAACATAACGATGGTAGGTGCACAACACAGACGACATGAAAGGGTGTTGACACCGCTTCAAACACATTACGGATTATAGTACAACAGAAACCTGCCTAAACCTCATGTTTCAATAAACCGTTTCAAAAACCTACACAACCTCTCCACTCCCCGCTGGTGTCTTCCTAAGCTCTGATACCCCTGTAGGAGATGAAAAAAATGTAGAGGGAGGTGCATTTTTGTTTTAAATATGCGTTATATACACAGGGTGCTTTAAAAAATGCGAACACTTACACGGGACTATCGTTTTCAAGGAAAAAGAACGGATAATACGACACTAACATGATAACAAATGTAATGTGAATAGCTTCAAAAAGTCGAAGAGTCTCCACTTTGTCGCCATCATTGTCAACACGTGCCTGGAATTTTCTCCAGGTGATCTGCAGACGCCCGGAGCCACATTTCTTGTGGTATTGTTGCAAAATGAAATGTAAAAAAAACTTTTTTTTGAAGCGCCCTGTATATTGGATTGCGAAATATTCCATCAACGGAACGTATCGGGTCCGTGTGGCCTATGACCGCAACACGACCCTCTTGGCCGTGCACGACATCCACCCGCAGGTGAAGATAGATCACGCGGCAGTGGCTTGAGACTTTGCCAGAATCCCGAGGGATTTGGTTTTCTGTTTGTTCGTGGTCCTCGTTTTAGCCACTTACAGGACCCGCTCCCCCCAGCGTCGGATTATCCACAGCGATGGGCAACGTCGTCGTTCAGAACGTAGTGTAGGGCTCGGCTCTCATCATCGTCTGCCGTTTGGTTCCTGCGTGCAGATATAATAGAGGTAGGTTTTTATTTATTTGCTTATTGCAGGTCTGCGCTATGGCCAATTCAAACAGAAATTAATCAAGGTTGCAAAAAAAAAATAAACGCTCAAATCGCCATGTAATGTTAACGTTCGACTGGTTACAGAGTGGCACTCGTTTAAAAAAAACGCGGTACACACGTAAGATAATATAGCATTGTAAAATAATTACACGTAAGGAAAGTACTTCGAGTGTGTGTATATAACCTTCAATAACGAGCCACTTATCGTCGCCGTCTTGTATGAGACGGTGCTTAATGAACAAAGCCGTGACACGCGCAACAGACAGCCGTCCTCACAGAAAGACGTGAACTCCCCGGGGGATTCGCCGCACGAAGTGCATCACGATTCGCCGAAACAATGTCGCGCGCCTCTGATCCGGGCGCGCAAATCGGGGGAAAAGTTTAAAACTTGAGCGAGCTGATCGGGAGGACGCCACGGGTCGAGAGCCCCACGCCGCCGCCGCGCGCGTTTTGTGCGTCCGCGTGTCGTGGGATGAATCCACGGAGGCACTTTCTTCGAGAGTACGCACATCGGGCGCGTCGTGTCGTTCATGATGCGATCCATGCGGTGTTTACGTTGACAAGCCAACAGCACGAAACGTGTTGGGTCAACTCCCAACATTTGTTGAGTGTGTTCCCCCCCCCACCTCCTCGTGTTCCTCTCTCGTCTCTCTCCCCTCCCGCCCTCCCCCACGCCGTGCCCGTTTGACGCATCCAGGAGCTCCGGCTATGGGCAGCTGGGGGAGCCGTCACGGCTATAAATACGCAGAACTCCTTCGCAGCCCAAGACAGACACGTCGCCCGCGAACCTTTGCTCCGCTTCCTCGTGAACAAAACAATCGCCACCACCTTCCATCGCGACCTTGTTTCGCTCGCATTATCAGCAGTAGACAAGGCTGCTGCGGCTGCTGCTGCTGCTGATGATGATGATGACGACTCAGCAACAGCTTGTGCTGCTGCTGATGGTTGTTAGCAGTGCCGGCGTCATCACGCGCACTTCTGCAACATTTTTGCTTGAAAATGCGTTCGGCAAAAGTGCCGCTGCCGATGACAAATTGGACTCACCCGTCCGACCTCACGCTCAAAACGGGAGCGCCAATTATTCCAATTTTTTCACGGCCCCATCGTGGAGATTCCTTGAGGCGTCGGGTTCAGCCGGAGTTCTGATCAGCGGCGGCGGCGGCGGCTCTGATGGGGAACCCGGAGCGGACGCGACCCTACGTAGGGTCAGGAGGGGGTTCATCTTCCCCGGCACCATGTGGTGCGGTGCGGGCAACAACGCCAACAGTTACGATGACCTAGGTGAGTGAGCGTTCGCTTTGCCTTGCGACAACAACAACAAACAAACATCCTCTTCATTATCATCATCATCATCTACATAATAAATCTACAGAGCAAGCCATATGTCCATAGGACAATGGATGTACATCCACGATGAGTCCGTAAATAAAATCATCTCTCTTCTATAAACAACTTCATCCATCATCGATCCATTCATAAACTAATCAGTTTATGTAAAGCAATATATAAATCTGTCATTGGTTTATAAAGCCTGTAATCGATTAGTATATCTACACATGAGTCTCATCGCCATCTATTACACTGGTCAAAAAAAAAAACATTTTTTTCTGGCCTGGACTTTTGCAGCTGTTTTAGACTAATTTCAGGGTGCTGATTCCAAATATGATCTCAGATTTGCTCTATTACATCTCATTTTATGCTATCGGCATACCCCATTTTCATTGATTTTACCCGAAATTAACTCTGTCACTTATGATTGCAAGTTGTTGCGAGTCAGTGACTACTTTAGTGTTAAAATATGGTGCTGTATTTTTAGGATAGTGTGTTTATAATATTATTTTATGTAGATATCCACATTTATTGAATATTTTTCTTCTGCAGTTTTTATTGAAAATGCAATATTTGATATCTCAAAAACCTGATGTGATAGACAAAAACTGATGCCAGATTTGGAATCAGCACCCCAAAATTACATTAACACCGTTGAAATACCTTATGCCAGAAAAAGTGTGTTGACCAGTGTTATCAATGTTCAGTTGTCAAGCTATCATTGTGATCGTCATAATTGTGAAACATCGTTAATCGGTCACCCATCGCTATTAATAACGCCACCAGTCAACATCATTGGACGTGTAACATCATCTCCACCCGTAAATATATCAATGTAAAATTCGATCACTTCTAACGTTAATTTACAGTGGCATATAATTGGATTAAGGTCATTGCAGGATTAAGATATGCCACTCTCTCCTGATTCCATTCAGTTGCACATGTGCGTGGCAGTAAAACCACAATAATAAAATGTTCGTGTACAACCCTTTGCCAATCCACTGCTGGATGAAGGCTTCCCCACGGCGTGTCAGTCACGCGGGTTATTTAGAGCATACTTCACCATACGGATCCGTGTGATGTCAGCCATGGCCGAAAATCTAAATTTAGCAGTAATCACATTCTTTATTAAATTATATTTTTTGTACTCAGCCGTAGCCCTTTTTTGTCTACCTATTATCCAGATGAAAACCCTCTCTCTTCAACTTGAAACTAAATATTTGACTATGCAATATCATCATCAGCCATGATCTATCCATCGCTGGATGAAACTCTCGCTCGGTCCCGTCGCCTTTCCTCGCGGCCTTGTTGGCTACGTACGGTGCGAAAGAAATTCAACATACGTACAGGGCAAGCCGTTTAGCGCCAACGCACGAAATTATTTTTGCATCGTTCTATCTCCGCGTCGCACGTACAACTCGGGCATGTTTCATTATTTGGACCCCACTTGCTTGTAAGTCTCGACTGCCGGGTCATCGACCCTACCAGCGGCGAGTCCTGGCCCAAGTTCACTCGTTACCGTTTTCTAACAAAGGTCGAAAGCGGGGAGTGCATTCGCTTTGTCTGCCTGGCCGTCCTTTGTCGCTATCGCTAATGAAATGCATCAGGTGATCAATTAATGTTGAAGAAGAGTGGTCAGGATTTCCCATCCACGTGTTCCTCTTGTGTGTCTGCCTAATCCCGAAAAGGCACTTCTCCACGCGCACTTGTAAGTCTTTGTCTGTCCATCTTTTAAAATGTTTCCCTTTTTAATTCCAGTGCTTAGTGTCAGCTATCTTGTTGTTACTCGTGTGGACTCGGGTCCGTTTGGGATGCGGGGTGGTGCTGGTGGCATGACAGCTGATATGTTGACCCCGTCATAACAGTGACACACCTCCCAAAAGCAGAGTGAACTTGGGTTGGTCAACGGGACATGTGCTGATGCACAGCCCACTCTACCATCCTCACGGCACCGCCCATGGCATCGAAACCTCCACGCATGTTTTGCTACGGCCGACAGTAACCCGATGCTGCTAAGTTTTGATAAGATCGGAGGACAAAGGTGGTCACCCCACAATACATTCGCCCCCGTGCCGTTTGAAGGTGCGTGCTTTAACTTTACCAGGCGCTTGCGAACGACCATATCGCCAGCAATCGAAGTAGGCAAAAGTTTAACGGTATCTTTATGAGCTGGCAAACTGTGAGCTTTGTTGACACGTGGAAAGTAGTGCACAAGGCAAGAGGAAGTTCAGCAACAAAAACATAAACTTAGAATTAGTGATGGCACAGTGATTAGTGTACTGTGCTGTGAGCCAAGGAGGCCTAAGTTGTAATGCCCCTGTCGAGGCTAACATCATTATAGAGACCTGAACTAATTCCTGCCTTTTCCAACCCAGTGTGGTGAAGTATGGTCAAATTACGCCCACAAGGTGGTAGGGGGGGGGCTGCAGTTTATTATTGTATTAACAGGCAGAAGATTGTCAACCATAAAATCGAATTATTACTGTTATTATTATTAGGATTAATTTCCTACATCATTATTTCTGCAAGTGTGTAGTCACCCCTCGTATGGCAAACGTAGTTTCGCTGTAACGTAACATAAAAATGAAGCATCGAATTCAATTTACGTTATATTCCATTTGTGTTTACGGCATTTTTTATCGAAGATTATAAAAAAAAAAACATACTGGGCGGGGATGGGGGGGGGGGGGTCCCGGGGGGGGGGGGTGTCAAGAAATAAAAATCTGGTCTCACGCCTGCACCCACCTACCGGATTATAAGACGCACTCACGACTTGAGCTTTAATATACACCCAGTATAAAACTGAGATGTGCCAATTTAACTAAATCTGGTGAATATCCAAAAAGTGGACTTGTGTGTTAGCTTGCCTCCAGGTCGTGCAACGGTCAGCGCGCTACGCTACGACCAACACCAGCGATGATGATCTGAATCGGTCCTGGGCCTCCCCTAGGTCGACTCAGCCTCAAATGAGTACCTGGTGCGGTGTGTAAACATCATCACTAGGGAGACAAAGGCGGCCGGGCGTGGTGGTGGCCACCCACCTCCCTCTCGTGTGCCAAAGTGCCCGACCTTCATGGGTGCTCCTCGCTAACAGCACTTGCCCCAACAGTCTGTTACAGGCTACACGGGGGCAGCGGGGAGGTAAATCTTTATCTTTGCCTTGCCTCCAGGTGAACTTGCCGAGACCGACCGCTGCTGCCGTGATCATGACCACTGCCCGCAGCTGATCGGCGCCTTTGAGTACAAGTACAGCTATCGCAACTACCGCTGGCACACCATCCTGCACTGCGACTGCGACGCCAGGTAACCCAAGACCCGTGGTGCTGCTACTGCAGAAATTATTTTTTGCATGCCCCCCACCCCACCCTGCCCTGCCGCGACCCCTCCACCCTGTCCGGCCGTGCCCCCCTTTTAAATAAAAAAATCCTACTGGGCTGACAGAAGGTGATATAGACAAAGGAGATTATATAAACGAGCTTTTTTGCACGTCCAAGGACGGGCGTATATTTTTCAGTTAATCTGAAATGTTCAATAGAAAAATTGTTCAGCTCATGATTATTAATGAGGGGGGGGGGGGGTTTGCCCCATGTGGAGTGACGTCACCCGCTAATGGTTATTGGGGAGGGGTGCGGCACGTGGAGTACGCAAACTTCTTGTGCGTTCGTGTAAATTTCCACGCGGGCATGAATATTAATGAAGGGAGGGGGGGGGCTCTTTGAAGTGACGTCACGTACGGATGTAGCACTGTGCTGTGTAGATTTATTTTTTAACGTCACTTTCTGTAAAGAAACGTCACATTTGAAGCGACTTTGCGTAATAAATTACTTAATTCAGCTCGACCTTCCTCTGCGTTAGTGTAAAAATCCACTCACTCATGAATATTAATTAGGGGGGTGGGCCTCATGTGGAGTGACGTCACGCGCGGGACGGACAGACATTTCTGGGTGATTATAGTCGGTAATTGTAGTGAGGATAAGAGAAATGTAGAGATGTCGTAAGACGAAATTCGAGAGACGCAGACCAGCTAGATATGAGAGATATCCATTGGCTTGTGTGTTTATTCGCCTTATCTTGTTCAGGATTTGCGTTCTGAGCTCATATTTGATGCACCCATAATATTTCATAACTCCGTGCCCCTTGACCCACCCGGGGCCCCTAATCTTTTGCTTGGTTTACTTTGGCCTCATGCTGCTATCGTAAACAAACAACACCATCACCATATGTAGGATGTTTTTTGTTTACCAGCATTGCAAGAGATCAACGAAAGGCACACGTTGAACACACAGTTGTTTTTTTAACTACCCATATTTTTTAAATTGTTGTAACAAACGATGCTTACGCATCCGAACAATTGTAAACACAGAGTAATTACGTGACTGCAAATCGATGTTGCAAATTCAACCATTTGTGTAACGATGTGGTGATGAAGGTGAAAGGAAAAGTCATCGCACGGACAATTATGACCATCCAACAGAGAAACGCTTAATGGTCAATGATGGGATTTCTCTGCTTTTCACTGCTCCGAATGTAATTGAGCACGTGTAAGAGGACTTGCAAATTACTTACAAATGGGGAGAAATCATAACAACATCCCCCTCCCCCACTGGCATTATAATGCCCACCTGCAGGGGGTTGCTGTGTGTACACCTTGCGTGCAGCATAGGGACAGCTGCCACTTGGGGTTCCCTCGGCTAGACTACAGCAGGAATGGCTGAGAGGTGGTGTGATGCACGGTGCTTTGAGCTGCCGAGGAATTTAAGCAGCGCCATGTAAATGCAAATTCGTTATCCCTAACCGGTAAATGCGTCTCTTCTTTTGAAATGTCTTACCTAATTGTGCGTCCGTAGTAAATGTAAACCTTTCGCCAACGTGCACTGATCGGAAGTGGTGAAGGATATGTCGGCAACCCCCATGACCGACATGGCATGTGAGGGGCCTTCATCCAGCAGTGGGATGACAACGGTTGTAAATAAATAAACGATAGTACTTACATTTTACAATCGTGCAACTGAATTTCTGTACGGACTACAACTGTAATCCCGGCCACACATTCATTTTCAGCGCGCACACATCAACGTACTGTGGATAAGATTTTGCTCATACGTTTCTTCCGTGTAATGAAATTTACGCAACTTGAAAGTTGCCTGATGCGAGATGTCAAGCTGAGTTGTAGAGAGCCGTGAAGTGCTCTCTAAATAAGGCGAATGCACTTTTGTTCCATTTTAATGTATTCCTTTTCGTGTGATGGCAGTTTTAAACAATGTCTTCGCGACTGCAACAACACAGCATCCAGGAACGTGGGGCAGGCTTACTTCAACATCATAGGCATGCCGTGTTTCACCTTTCACTACGAGCAGCGGTGCACAGAGAGGATGTGGTGGGGGAAGTAAGTGTTTTGCCGCTACCCGAACACTTTGATGCGAGATATTAAAACTGCATGTTTTGGATACGTTGATTCTCCTGTTGGTAGAAATGAACATCTCAATGGAAACATTTGGTGTCCATCATAGCCAGTGAAATTTTTGTTTATTTACAGTATTCACTCTTGGTGTTTTTTTTTACATAATGGCACTAAATATAATTATGGTCATTTGCAGCCCTTTGTCAATGCACTTTTTATGAAGGCTTCTGCATGCGGTGCCAGTCATGGGGATTGTTTAACCATACTTCACCATGCTGGTCAGTGCGGGTTGGTGGAAGGGCGCCCACGTGACCGGTTCAGAATATCACTGGCCACGATGTTCGTCGCGGCTGACAATTGACCCTCGATTGCTTGGTTCATAGTACACTTGTGCCAAACACATAACCCACTATTGTTAAATAATGATGTGTTACTACCCAGATGTAAACAAATTGATAATCTTATATGTATTACAGTGATTAAGAAATACAATTGATATTTCAACGACCCATTTTATTCGAATGTACAAAATACGCTACTTTACACGACACACGAACAAGACCATGGCCATCAGGTGTGAAATCACCGATTACTGAGTAGTGAAACACTTCAGACAGAGCATTGCTGATGTAACTGATTTCTTTTTTCTCTAGGTGCTTGAAGTATGAGGAGCTACCTGTGGCATCCGTGCAAAATCAGAAACCTTTTGACTATGAAGGAATTGAGGTCAGCGGTGAGGTTGAGAACAACGTTGACCCCACGGATGGAGACACAGCGCCAATGAGTGCCCAGCCACTGGACGTTACAACCACGACCGAACATAACCACCGGTTGCCCGCTACGACCGGCACGACTTCACCTCCCAAAACCACGGAGCCAGAGATCCCTCAGCCCAGTGTCACGATTAAAGGCGGCGCATGCAAGAACAAGCAAAGGCACGGGAAAAATAACCGAAAGCATGGCAGAAAATCCATGAGAGGTTTTGGCAACCGTGATGACAACTTTGTTCATCATTTGGAAACAAATGAGGTGCGGGTGAATTCTACCCTTCGGCAGTACACCGGGTCTAAGCGGCGAGGAGGCGGCGGCGGCAAACGCAGAGGCCAGCAGAGGAAGCATCTTGGCAGGAAGAAGGGCATCGGGAAACATCTAAAGTTCGAGCCGTCGATTATTAAGGGGTTGAGCGTAAGAGGCCAATACGGTGCTGTTAATGCCGGAGCAGTGTCTTTGCATGCAGATGTATTTGAAGAAATGTCAAACAGTATTTCTTTACCGACGGTTCAACCGAAACGCTTAAATAGGTTGCGTACAAGGGGCAGAAGGAATGGCAGAAGGAAGGCGGCTCGAAAAACTGGATCGCTGCTAAAACTTATTGCTTGGGTTAGCTCTGCGTTTTCGGGTTGTGCTGCGTGTTGTTCGCCATGAGGTCCGGCGTTTGCTTCACGTGCTGGGAGTGGAACTGAATAGATTCCCGTAGGACAAATCAAAAACAGTTGGACAACACGCGGTCAACAACCTGCACTTGCGGCAGTAGTTTTATTGCTTGGGTTACCTGTTGCGATATAAACCAATCACGACGCTAAAATACATTGAGCTTAACGTATCGTTATTGCTGCCAGTTTCAAACCGAGTCGATGTGATTTCTATATTTACTTTGTGGTGCCTTCCTGGCAAAGATCTGTGCTATCCAAGGCGCCGTTCCATTGAACGCAGCAGCAACAACAACAAAAACCGGCAAAAAAAATATTTTTTAATATAAGTATAAAAATCCTGAAGGGGGGGGGGGGGGAATGTGAGCATGTTAAAGATTATTAAGTCACTTAAAATAATCACCCACAAATCACCACCGTTCCCACACAAGAAACGTGGTTCGAAGTTAAACACGTCCCATTGTGACGCGATCAGCCATCGACGCTGTCCATGTCACGTGGAGCACGTGTACAACACGCACGTGCTGAGATCTCTAGATCTTCATTGGAATTCGTTCTTAACGTAGACGACTTGAAATGCTTCGAGCCTCAACCGAGGACATTTTTAACAATCGTCGGGCGTGCAAGCGTGAAACAGCATAGATTTGTGCTTTGAATTGGGGCGAGGGGGGGGGGGAGTACATTGTTAAACGCGGAAAAGCGTCGCGTGCTGGGTCGCGAGAAATTGAGTTTGGGAACTCCTGGTCGAGTGGAATGCGAAGGCTTTTTTTGGTTGTATCGACAAGAGTCGTGCTAAAGTAGAGGCGTTTACCTTGCCCCTTCTCTTGTTTGGTGGTTGTTTGTGATGAGTTAAAGTTTTTGCCGCACGCTTTTAGTTTTACAAAATTAATTGCAAGCCATGTTTTGGTAGTATTTAGAGCCGATATTATTGTATGACTAATCCGTGGATCCTGGTGTGATAGGGAGGTTTGTCGTCTGCATAGAGGTGATTGTTGCAATCCAAGGGCAGTTATTTGAGTTTTATCAAAAAGTTAATCGACAGTGGTCATGTGGTAGAGCCCCTGAAGATCTCTAGAGGAAATGTTCAAAATGGGGTGATGTGTGGTTGTTAAATGTGAGTGTAGCGGTGTGAAGTTTTTTTTACGTAATTTGTCAACCCTCTGAGAACTTTGTGATGTAAAAGTCCTTGAGTACGGTGCCAATCTGCCGTTATGTGGTGACGGAGGATGATAGCAGTGGGTGTGGCATTATCCATATTTCTAAGTGCTTCGTTTCACGCATCATGGCTGTTCTCTGTGCAAAAGTTCGTGCGAAACAATCGTGGTTTCAATGTAGAAGGTTTGTTCCTATTGATGTGATGGGGAAAGATGTGAGAAAACAATTTCTCCAGTATTTTTTAAATGGAGGGTAAATTAGATTACAAGTTTGTAGCTATTTGGGTCATTGATGTCAAGTGCAGTTTTTTTATCGCAGTGGTATGCTTTAAACGTGCTTGGAATCTTAGTAGGTGGGTAATGAAATATTCACCAAGTGTGCGTTTGCTGGGGTGAGTGTCGTGTAAGGAAGGTTGAGTAGGTGTTGGGATCTGTGGGTTTATCCTGATTGATGTTGTTTACTGTGCTTCGTATGATATTGGAGCAAAATGCTGAAGTGTCGCTCAGCCAGTTTAGCAGCGGATTGGTAAGTTTTTCCTCGGGTTATAGGAGTTGTGATTTGAATTTCTGATATTGTCTGTTTTGTTTTCAAGAAGGATAAGAATTCTATCTTGATTGGAAGCTTTCATAGAATAAGAATTCTGTGATTTGTTATGATACTGTTTTGAGTAATTGATGGGTTTTGGCTGAAAATAATGTAAAAAAGTATTTTTGTAAAGTGTGTTTTGTCGTTGTTTGCGTCTGATTTAATTGTCCATCTCGAATTCCAGTTTGGTTTGGCATTAGTGTTTTTGTTGTAGAATGAGAGTGCTGAATGACGGTTTACTTTGTCACTTGGCAATTAGGGGATATCCTCCAACAACACTCCAATTTGCAACATTGTTGTTTGAATTTGAGTTCCGGGTTTACCATCTATTTGTGTATTTTGTTTGTGCATGTATGTTGAACTTCCTTTGCACCGTACGTAACCAATCGTGCTAATTGGAGGTGCGGGGGAAGGACAACCAACTAAACACAAAAATAAGTTATGAAGAAATTAGCTTTCAATATAGTTAAACGTGCATAGCTCCAGTTGCTTCCTAATATCGGAAGGAAGAGCGTTCCAGACGGCCGCAGAAGCGGACCTCAAAGCGCGCGATGCTTGTGTATGATTGTAGCAATTTGTATCTTTTTTCGATGTGCGAGAGGTATGAGTTTATTGTTGTGCTTTAGGTGAGATCAATTGGTCGGTTGTGCATTAGGTTGCGTGCGTTCGCTTCGCAGTGATGTGGTGGCATATTTTCGTGCAAAGACTTGGCTCAGCGGTCTCGATGCGAGCCCCATCGGCGTTCTCCGTGAGTCCACGGGAAGCGCTTGACGTTGGAGCGCCATCGGGCGCCCTCCTGCTTGCTGACACGGCGGACGTCGCGACGGATCAGTGGCCAAAACACGGCAGGCTGTGGGCTGGGGACTGGGGAACGGCGCCCACAGCGCCATGGGCGACTGGCAGCAATGGAGACGCGCACGTGGCGCACGGCAGTGCCCCCATCGGGACCACGTGAATGGAAGTCCATGCGGGAGCGGCAGTGCGGAATGTCGCCCGCGGTGCTGTTTGCTGCCCTTCTCCAACCATATAAACTGTTGTCGGCTCCGTCTACTTGTGTTCTTGTTTCTGTGGGGGGTTTTCCCCCCACCCCATCCGCACAAGTGATGGTGTCTCCCTTTTGCAACGATTTTCTTCTCGCTGGCCCCTTTTACCACCCAGCACAGTAGTGGTCACTCGCCATTGTCATATCGCACGGGTTGTACTTTATTTGTGATTTAAATGCGTCCAATGCAAAGGCAAATTAACTTGGATTGCAGCTGCCAAGCATGGGAAAACTGCTTGCTTCGGATGAATTAGCGCTTCATTAAAGCTCCTGTGGTCCTTTTAAAAATGATGATGCTCTTGTGGTAAAGTTGCTCGGTTCATTTCATATTTATATACGGTAGTCTTGTAAATTAGCAGATTTTTGTGTATGTAATTGTTTTTCATGTGTTCATTTTCCCAAGTGGATTGTCAAGTGGTGTATTAAAGTGTTTATTTATTTTGAGTCCTTGAATAAATGACTCGAATACAAAAACATCGGTAAATTTCCAATGCTGCATTTACATGTTTAAAATCGAATGTCTCGCATGTAGATTTGTAATGTTTTTTAAGGCATAAAATACTGCAATGTTTATACCTATTTTAATGAACGGTTTTCTGAAAGTGCATTGTAATGTTAAGATGGCGAAAATTGCTACTGCGGCTCTTCTTGTTGTACAGTATTTAGAATCAAAATAAAATGTAAACATGCAAGATCTCAAACAACGTGGCTGTCGAGTGTTTGGCTAGAACCAATGGCACCTAAATGACCATTTGTTTCTAGACTTTAGTTGAATGCAAAAGTTTATACCTACAATTACATTTGACTAGGGGAATGCTGCTGTTGCGTCCTGGTTTGGCCAACAGATTTGCATTCAAAAGGTTCAAATCTATCATCACTAGTTGAAACAATGGGCTACTTGATTCAATCCTCAACTTCTGCCCATTCAGCAGTTAGTCAATCAGGTAGTCTGGTGTGGTTGGGTAAAGTGTAGCAATGTTCATCTCTTTCATGCTGTCGGGTTAGTGTGAAGAAGTAGGCCAAAATACCCTTTTGAGGGGATGGCTGGAGGGGGGGGGGGGTGCTCTCGAAATCCCTTTAGTGGAGGCACTTCTGCTAGCAGTGACGTTTAGCAAGATATTACAGGGCTGCACCTTAACGTTTTACCTTTAACTCTTGACCACACATACAACGCGTGTAAAGCAACATTGGGCTGGAACATCTTTTGGCTGATTATTTTTTTGCCGATGAGTCAACCCCTTGTCACTTTATTAATACCACTGCCCACATTTACGTCGCTGAAGGCATGATTCGTCCTTTCTTGTATCCGTCGCCTCGGCCTTCTCTGCTACCTACCCTGTAATTTGCTTTGAATTAGGTCGTTTAGATATTTGTCACACATTTCACGAATGCATCCCCGAAGTAAACCGGGGTAATTATTTGTAATGTTTGACCGATTTGGGGGAGGGTACCAAGAAGATCGGAGAACAATAGCAACCCTTTGTTATGTTTGAATGAATATCTCTCAAATTGGAAGATGGTTAAAAGTCAACGACATGTGGAGAGTGGTGATGGCACAAATCACAGCTTACAGGGTGTCCGAAAATAAAGATACTAAAAAGAACGTTGAATATGTTTTGGTTATTTGAGATACTGACAGAAATTTTATATGAATACATGTAATAGACTTATACGTCGTAGTTTTTGAAAGTATGTTTTAGATATTCTCTAATAATTAATGAACTTCTACATGTCGTTCATAATTCACTATGATCAATCTAATTCGGCGTTCAAACTCTGAGAAAACATTTTCCAACTCAGCTGGTTTGTTCATTTCACGCTGGAAACTCATTTGGGCTTGAATGATTGAACCACGTTAATGTACAAAACTCACAATTTTTGCTTTCTCTTGAGGACTTGTTATTATATCATAAAATCTGGCATCTCCTGGAACAGAAAGTAACAATCAATATTCATTCACAACAAACTGCAACTTCTACGTCTAGTGCATATAGTAATATCAAATTTATCTCAGTATCTCAAATAACAACACATCTGATTTAAAGCTTTCGTGACTGCAGGGATTCATACTCTTTGGGTCTTTCGGTAAAATCACGTAGATAGAAAAATAATTTAAAAAATCACGACGTTTCGATCGCAACACAAGCAATCGTCCTCAGGTGAAAAATATAGCAAGAGAGCTGCTGAAGCAGCAGGGTGTTATATAGGCCTGAGATGGGTGCAGCCCAAGGGTAAGTGGGCGGGGTTAGAGACGGAAGATGGAGGGCACCCCAAAGCTGTTAGGCTGGCCCTTGTATTGTGAGAGATTAGCTTATCAATATAGCCACTGCCACATCGAGGAATGCAACTCAGAGAGTCGGAAATAACTGCTAACATCGGAAGGTAGGATGGAAACATCACAGCCAGTTATGACTTAAACTGGTTAATAACGTCCTTCCAATGATTGCTCAGTTTGTACCCATCTTCTCGGTTGAAATTGTGTCTGTGTTTATACATCTGGATGGCTTCATGAACGAATCTTTGTTGATAGCCAGTAGGTTTGCAGAGTATCTTCGTCTTGGAGAAATCAATTTCGTGTGTGCCCACAGCAGTAAAACAATGATCAGCCACGGCCGAGGTCTTGGTCCTACCGTGTTTCAGATCTGCCTTATGTTCACGAACACGGTCCGAGACATGTCGCTCAGTTTCCTCAATGTAACTACTACCGCAGCCACAGCTCAGTTTGTAGACACCGGGGTATTGCATGTCAGGGATCACATCCTTCACAGATAGGATCAGATCACGAATTTTAGGTACTGTGTTGAATCGGACCTGGATCTTGTGTTTGCTCATGATTTTGGTAACCAAAAAAGATTTCCAAAATCATGAGCAACTCATTGTGTCCAGAAAGTAGGGGTTTGCAGACAGGAGAACGTGTCAGAATCCCCCCTCCCCCCGATCTGATTATTTTGGCGTGGAAACCCCTTTGGGTGTGCCAGAGTCATCAACAGTGGCGAGCGAGAGGATGCCTCCAAACCTTGAGGGACAGCTCATTACCCACAGGCGCAATACCTGAAGGTAAGGCAGGTCACCATGACTCTCTTCGTTATACTACAACCAGAGGTCGCAACCGGGTACCCGATACCCGTACCCTACCCGATACCCGGCTACCCGTACCCGGCCGGGAAGGGGTACGGGTAGCCGTTTGCGACCCTGGTGCGGCCGGGTACGGGTAGGCCGTGAGTCACTGGTGAGTAGCCGTTTGTCACTCATTTCGGGTCGGGTACGGGTAGGGAACGGCTACCCACACCCGGGCGGGTACGGGTACCCATTTGCGACCCTGGTGCGGCCGGGTACGGGTACGGGTAAGGAATCAAAACCCGTTTGCGACCTCTGCTCTAAACCTTGAGGGACAGCTCATTACCCACAGGCTCAATACCTGAAGGCAAGGCAGGTCACCATGATTCTCTTCGCTATACTACAACCTGTAGTTGAAGAAGAAATGATTGGAGTGAGGTGGTTCGTATGAAATCGTTTTTGTTGTGTGAATTATGATTTTGTATTAGGTTGCAACTATTTTTGTGTGAATTGTTATTATTGTTTAGTTTTTTTTAAATCAGAAATTTGGTATGTTTATAGTTTTTTTTATTTTAATACTTTATTGTAATTTTTTTCCAATGTATTTTTTCATGAAGGTATCCTAAAGTATTTGATTAACCTTCTTGGTTCTTTCGGTAAAGTCACGTAGAATGGAAATAAAAAATTAATAAAAATAAAACATAATAAAATAATTCTCACGACGTTTCGGCCACAACGCAAGCAGCCGTCCTCAGGTGAAGAACAGGTCTGTCGGGAAGACAGAGTCTGAATGAAACACCCCAGGCTTGGAGCGTATATTTAAGCTGGGTTGGAGGGGGAAGAGCGCCTTGACAAAATAATTTGCATATCAATAGGAATTTAGCATATTTATATGAAATGCAGATATGGGATTAGTACTACTTGTGAAATGCGTAGGAGGTGGTTTTATTATTTTCATTCTACGTGACCTTACCGAAAGAACAAAGAAGATGAATCCCTGCAGTTACGAAAGCTTTAAATCGATATTTGACTAGCATTCAGGTAACCACAACATATTCAGAACCTTCAGTCAATGTTTATCATATTGATTGTACATAGTTCGTTATTATCACCACTTAATTCTTGAATTGTCCATGCCATATTGATCGAGCAATAATAATAATAATAATATATCCTACAACAAAATAGATGGTCTGGAAGAATGTATTTTTCCGGGAATTTGGGATTCATATTCTTGGATTGCCATAAGGAATCGAAATCACAATCGATTCTTCGATCACGACTCCAAACGCATTGGAATCGCCCACCCCGAGTGCTGTTCTCAACGAGCCACGTCACGTGGGGGACGGGGGGGGGGAGTGTTGGTGCCGTCCAATTAAATTCAAACGTTCGCTGCCCCCCCGCACCCCCCAAGTATCGCGATAACTTGGGAGCCGCAGTGCAACGTATGGGGGTGCTCGGGCGCAGTTCTCGCGAGATTTCGCGTTCAACGGAGGAGTGGCCCACGAAGGCTGCGTGACGAATTGGCGCCATTTGTGTGAACTTTTGAATTTGTAAAGCGTCGAGCGCGGTCGTCTCCCTCGTCCGGCGGCTTCGTCGTGGACCTGCGAGGGCGAATTCTTTGACCGGCAATGTCGACGAGCGACTCCAGGTACACGTTAGCTTTTGTTTGGTCGCGGTCCGGCGACGTTTTGGCGCGAAATAAGAAACGTGGCGAGGAGGATGAGGATGAGGTCGTGGGGGTGACTTCGTTACATCGCCACCGTCGTCGCCGCCACGACCACAGGGGGAAGGAAGGATGGATGTGAGGGAGATGGAGCGTGCAGTTGCTGAGGTGGATCCTGCGTCCAGCAGTGGAGTGAACGCGGCCCCGTCGTGGCTGGCCTCGGAGCAAAGTTGGTTCGCTTTCAGATGGCGCTCGAAGGGTCTCTTCCGATACGAGGAAGCCGCTGTGGCAACTTTAATAAACAATCCCGATTGAGAGAGTTCAACGTACATACTCAAAGGGGGGCGGCGGATGGGGTGGTGTGTTGCCACTTTATAATGAGGCCAGAGCGATTCACCGTCTGCGAGCGCGCACGACTCTTTCATACAAATATAGGCCGTAAGAATCGGCTCATCATCACCTTCGGTGGTCGATAAATCGGGATGCCTCTGCGCTGCGTGTGAGCATTTGACGGTAAATGGGACCCCCCCTCTCCCATTGTAAAAGGGGGGCATTTGTATCGCTAAGCCTCCGGTGGTTTTAGCGCTTCGAAATGCACGGGGGGGGGGGGGGAGTTGTGGTGTAAATAATCCATCGTGATAATATCGATTGGGAATATCACCACCACCACTGTTTGCTCCTTATCACATGGACTTGTACGCTGTGCCTCCTAACCTTGTGATCGGCTCACAACGGCAGAACTTTGTGGGCTCTTCTAGACGGTACGCACGTGTTTTGTTGTTGGGATGTTTTGTGTCCTTTGTCATTCCTGACCCTTTCCTCTCTGTGTGCGTGTGCTGTGTGTACGTGAAGCAATGGAAGGGAAAGGGACACGGGTCAGATGTCTGGCCGTGAGATGGAAGAAGAAGAGGACAACCCTGACGCTGTGAAATACCGAAAGGTGGGGTGAAACTGTTTTTGCCCACAGTGGTCAACATGGAGATGACAAATCCACACGCGCGCACACGCAGCCATTCAATGCATTAAAAGGTTAGGGGTCTTGTTTTCAACGTTTGTGTGTGTGTTTTTTTTACAGTATGTCATGCGGTCCAAGGATGCCCTGCGAAGTGAAAACTTGACTGCCGCCGTGCATTGCTTGAAGAAGGCGTACAAGATCTATGCAAGCAAAAAGCTAGAGCTCAAGATAAAGACGTTGGAGGTTGTGGCCGCATTTACATGCATCTTTAACATCAGAAATGCAATCCAGCAGGCCACGTTTTGATGATATAATGTAATTTGCAGCCGTGTTAATCCATTGTAATTATTTTGGTATTGCCTATAATATAACCATTTACGAGGTATTTATATGATAACTTTTGTGCCGTTGCCTAAATATACAAAATAATGTTGTCGACTCAAACTATTTTCGGGCTAACATTAAAACTATTTAGATTGAATCAATAATTTGAATGTTACACATGCTTTTTCATTGTGTTTAATTTTTAAGGAATGCATGCCAGTATTTGTGACAGGATATTACTTTCCTGCACATTGATGGATAGGGTTGTTTGGTTATTTCCATGAATGCAGTGTTTGATGAAAGTTTACAAAATCTGTGAAATGGCTTTACATTCCAGGAAGTTTTGAAAGCTGCTATCAGCAGTGATGATGAAGAAGATGAGTATATCAACGTCCTTGGCTCAGGATTTCATTTATACCATGAACTTCATGACCAGCTGTATTCTCATCAGCTTGTGGGTGTTGCCTGGCTTTACAACTTATTCAAGAATAAGCGTAAAGGTGGTATACTTGCCGATGACATGGGGTAAGTGTACATCCAGTACTCCTGCAAATAAAAAAGTGACCATTTTTATATATAAAGTACCAAAGAATATTAATTCCTGCAGTCACGAAAGTTTTAAGTCAAAAGTGACCATTTCGTATAACTACAAGCAAGGTGTAGTGTAGGGGATTTTCGTCGTTGAAGGTTAAGTTTTTGTATGCATTGATCAAATTTGGTTGTTTTTAACGTTTGATTAATGCAAAAACATTAATTTCACTTCGTACGACATGAATACAATGTGGTGGATGGTATTGACTTGCTGGTGTTTTTTGTTTTTTCTTAGACTTGGCAAGACTATTCAAGTCATTTCTTTTCTTTCGGGCATGTTTGATGCTTCACTTTTTGGCCATGTTCTCCTGGTCATGCCCACCACTCTAATGAGCATTTGGATTTCTGAATTTGATAAGTGGTGAGTTATATATTTTTAAGAATAGGCTTTTTTTTATAACCGGCACTCTTTGTTACTGCTCTTAACAGTAATTGCATAATTTCAACAATTTTGTTTCTTGGTTATTCAGTTAAAATAGTAATGAAGAAAACATACTCTCTACTTCATACTTTCTGCCTCGCAGGGCACCAGGAATCACGGTCCGAGAGTTCTATGGCAGCAAAAATGAGCGAACGAGAAACTTGCAAAAAGTTCAACGGACGCAGGGAGTTGTTATCACCTCATACCAGCTCCTTGTGAATAACTGGCATGAGCTGTCCACATACCAAGGACACGAGTTCATCTGGGTGAGCAGTTGTTGTTAGCTTGCATTGTAATTTTGGCTCTGTTGTTTTTGGGTAATGTTTGGTTTTATATTACGTCATTCATGAAAATTGCATCTTACATTTGCTGAGGAACTGCAGACCGATACAACATCCCCCTGGCAACGAGGCACTGCCATCAATTAACCAAGCGATTCAGTCCTCTTGTTATATTAACATTTATTTGGCCAATTGATGAGTGTGTAGACATGTGTGATCAAACTGGAGCACCTGAAGAAACCCCACATGTGGGAGGTGGCAACACTTTTATCCCACACAGAAGGAACGGACGATATTAGGCCGCACTATGCCGTACCACATTCTACTGGCAACATTTGTTTGATTTGCCAACCCTTTCCTCCACGGTTCTGGATTACAGGCATGCTCCACCACTGCCTGCCTACTTAAAAATCCATTGACAATGCAAATCGAGATGTATTACCTCGTTTAAAGTGACCTCTGTGGCTAGCATATGGCTACTAGCTATTATTGATGGGATACGTGGCAGAAATGCAAGATGCATAATCGTGACATGCTGGTAAATTTACTGTGCCTGAGTAAATGACATTCACAGGTGCAGTGTATTTCAGCTTGTCACAGTAATATTATGTCAGTCACATTCATGTTATCTGAAGGGTTTTTTTTTCCCAAAGCATGGCCAGGACAATTTATACTGTTCACTTTGAAAATGTACTTGAGTAATGCACATTACATTTAACATGATGATATATATGGTTCTATCTGTTTATTTTTATATATGGTTTGAATGCGTTGGTGCATTATAATTCACAAAATATTACCTTGCCCTTTGTTCAGTATTGTAAATATTCACATATTTTATTTTTTTTGCTCACGATGTCATCGTCTAGGATGCAATGTTTCTGGACGAAGGGCATAAAATAAAGACGTCATCAACCAAGACGGCCAAGAGTGCTCATGCCATTCCAGCACATTTCCGTATGGTTTTGACAGGGACACCAGTGCAGAACAACTTAAAGGTTGGTGTGAAAGTGAAAAATAACTCGCTGTGTTTCATCATTACTGCTGCCTTATATATATATATAATCCAGGCCGACGTTTTGAACAATTGTTTTTCAGAAAAATATTACGAGGCAGTATTTATGACGAATGCGGTTTGTTTTGTTTCTCAGTTTAATACCACTGCAAACACAATACACAGTATCTGTATTGTTTTATTTTAATCTGAATGTTTGTTGTTTAAGGTATTCACTGCATGCAAGTTTATTAGATATTAAACACGCCAGTCTTAACAAAACTGTTTTATATAAGCAGCTGCATCTAATTATAATTCTACATTTGCAATAAAAATGCTTCAATCAAATGTTCAATAATTTGATCATGTTTTTGTAAATCCTCCAATTTTTAAACCAACATTTGACATTCGGCATGCAATTTATCGCTTGGCATTTGTTTTCTAACTTAATCTCCGTTTTAACCTTTACTTCTGTAGGAAATTTGGGCATTGTTTGACTTTGTGTGTGAGGGGTCACTGCTGGGCACATCCAAAACCTTTAAGATGGAATATGAAAACCCAATCACAAAGGTTTGTTTGTTTGTTTGCTGTGCAATGCTTCAATTACATGTTGTGTACAAATTGCTAAATTAAATTAACTGAACATTTTAATCTGGAACATGTGTGCTCAAACTGTATAGTTATTAACGATATGAAATAGCCACTTGATGACTTTCCTTGCGGGATTGAGTTGTCATTTTGGGTTGCAATTACGTTTATTTTTAGAACTGGGGTGAATGCAGCAGCCTGTAAATGGCTGGAAGGATCATTTGGACCCATTGAATAAAACATATAAATTAATAAATAAAGTACATGTATTTGCACATTCTTTGGTGAATGCAATGTGACCTTAAGAATTGATGTTCATGGATTAATGCACTGTTATGTAAAATGGTATATGAAAGACGGTCCTGGCTTGGTAATTTTTTATTTCTGGACCGAATTGCCTAACCGCATTACAGATGAGCACATGGACAATGTTGGCTGTGGTGTGTGGATTCAGGCACGCCAAAAGGATGCCACTGTTGGTGAGAAAGCACTGGGTACGAGAATGGCGGAAAACCTGCAAGAGCTCATTGGGCCGTATTTTCTTCGCCGAACAAAAGCTGAAGTACAGTCGAAGGAACTTCATGCGAAGCAGCTCCGGGATAACAAAGAAAATGATCCTACAGTAGGCAACGTGGATCAGAGGTATTAATGCTTTCCTGTAGAAGTGTATTGTTCATGTAAAAATGTCATTGACATTTATGATCTTGAGATTTGTATAATTTAGTGCTATTAGTATTAATAAATAATTATTCTTGGTTCTTTCGGTACAGTCACGTAGAAGGGAAATATTATTTTATTATTTCCCTTCTACGTGACTTTACCGAAATCACCAAGAATATGAATCCCTGCAGTCACGAAAGCTTTAAATCGAAATTGCAAAAAGTATTGCTTTGAAAAATGGATCTTGTTAACGGAACTATGAAAGCTGTATTCAATCGATTTTCCTTTTATATACATTTTTCGATGCCAGAGTTCAAATAGAGATGCCTACCCTGACAAGAAAAAACGACCTGATTGTATGGGTTCACCTAAGCCCAGTGCAAGAACAAATCTATCGAGACTTCCAAAATCTGGACGACATCAAAGAGGTATGTAAGACCTGCCTGCCCTTTAGAACTAAAGACCTTTAGAAATCCTTCAAGCAATGCACCAAGCAATTGTACAACAGACCTTTTTTGTACTTTCATTTCTTGGAATTTCCCTTTGGACAAATAAAGCATTTACTTCAAGAAACACTGGTGGAGATCAGTTGCACAAAGTATGAAATCGATTTTGTATAAAATAAAAAACATGCACATGGTTTTGAAGGAATGATACGTTTTTGTTTTGAGAAATGTCAAACTGATGCTTACATGGATGGAATTATAATGCACGCACTAAAATATAAGATGCATCTTTGCAATCGTGTAGCATAGTAACAGTTAATTTCCATGCATTTGGCAATAGAGTAAAATCAACATTACAATACGAAAATTCCCTCTGGTTCACTGACAGTCGAAAGTAAAGTAATTGTTGCAGACCAGCGTTACAGTTTGTTGTGGTGCTTGTCATTTAGCTGCTGGACTCCACACGCTCCCCACTTGTTGCACTTGGCATCCTCAAGAAGATTTGTGTTCACCCGCGTCTGCTGCCAGAAAGGGCCTGTGCTCAGCTGGGGCTCAATCAGCAGTTTGGCAGGTCAGTGTTTAATATTTAACTGTTACGAGTAATAAAATATAAATGTTGTGCCACTTAGAGTAAAGAAACATGATCAGTCCTTACATAGTGAAGAAAGCTGGACGCAAGCAAAGTAACACATCGCATCACTATGCATACCATAAAAACAAAAAATTAACGGTGCCAATTTTGATCTGAAATCGTTCAAACGGTCATAGTTTTTGTTTTATTGGCAGTTGGGGTGGCCTGTCCGTCAGTGTGCGAGCCATTGGCACAATTTGCACGAGGTCGGCGATGCAGTTTCGAAGCTATCCAGTAATCTCAAAGGAATTCCATGAAACGTCTTGGTTGTTTGACCCTATGACATGCCACATTCTAGTATAGCAAAAGAAAATATCTGAAAGATATCATTAACCAAACTAGCATTTTTACTTAATGCAATTGTTTTACTAATGTGTCTAAATGTTCATAATTTGTAAAGCTTATTTTAAAAGTACCACGTGAACTTTTTTTCAGAATTGCACCGGAGGGTCTTGAAAGTAACTGGTTTTTATCCAGCATCAAGAATGTTCCTCCCAAGACCTTGATAGAGGTAAAGGCTGGGAGCTACATACAATACTTGACATTCATAATAAAGGTTTTTGGGTTAGATCGCGTTATTTATTAATGTGTTGCAACCCTCCGCCACCCGACACGGTCAATCAGTAAAAAATGTGTCACGTTGACAAAAGACTATTTCACTAGTTTAGCGCACCGGTGTGTTGAAGAGTGGATCCACAACATTTAGAATTTGAGTAGTACGACGTTTCACTGGAAATTACATCCAGCATCTTCAGGCGATTTGCCAGAATAGTGAAGCCATCCACCTGCTTCCGGTCTTAAATAGTGCAGGATGACGTCATCATTGTTGAACCCCATCAGGATTCGAGATCAGAGGCGGAGATGAGGGTGTATGGAATTATGTAATTGATCAATAATCAGCCACTTAGCATGTGACTCACCTGTAAGGAATTGCAATGTGTTGTGTATTACTTAGCTATACTCAGCGCAGCCTGGAAGCGTATTATTATCACAGCGATTACAATTATTTTGAATTCTTCTCATTTTCAATTGATTCTCGGACTAATCTTGCCCAGTAATAATTAGTTCTGCACAACACTTAAACGTGATAATAATCAATTGAATGTCCTTGTTGGCAAGCAAGCTCTGCCACCGCTGACAGCTGTGTTTGGGAGAATTTAATGTTCCTTTGGTGTTCTTTTAATCTTACGCTAATGTTACCTCTCGTCTGTCCAATATAACACTTACCGCATAAGCAATTGATCTGTTGCCAACTTCGGTAATTCATCTTTAGTACAAGACACTAGTTTTTGAATTTTGTGTACCGTACCAAATCTCACTTTAATGTTTTGCTTTTGCAAAACACGGGCTAGTTTGTCAGTAACTCCCGAGATACATGGTATTTTAATTGTTTTGATAATCACTTTCAGCAGTATTGTTGTTCGATCTTGATTTGGCATTGAATGCTCTGTTAATTTGAGCATTATTGTAGCCATCCAGCCTTGGTGCTTTAACATGTTTGATCTCTTTCCCTAAACTTTCACCATCTGACACTGTCTTTTCCCGATGTATGAGTGTCTTGAGAGAGGATTTCTGTGCTGGGTGGTGATGTGGTGGATGGCTTCACTAATCTGGCAAATCGCCCGAAGATGCTGGATGTAATTTTCAGCTAAACGTCGTACTCAAATTGTAAATGTTGTGGATCCACTCTTCAACACACCGATGCGCTAAAGTAGTGAAATATTTGTCTTGTCAACGTGACACATTTTTTACCTTTTTATTATGAATAATACTGGTCGCGAAAGCCTACGTGTTAAATACTTGACATGTTAAACACAATTTTGTGATAACATCTAGGAACATTAGTTACATTGGAAGGCCTTTGGTAGTTTTGTACAAATGTGAATTGTGTACGTGTGACGTTCTTGTGAGTTGCAGGAGTCTGGCAAGTTGACGTTTCTGATTGGACTACTTGAGCGTTTGCGCCAAGAGGGTCACCGAACGCTGGTGTTTTCTCAGTCACTCAAGATGCTGGATATCATCGATCACATCCTAAAACATCAGGTGAGATTGGGTTGTGGTGTAATAAACCACTGCGACGACGATCTGTGTCTACTTTATTATTTATTCATTCCTTGACAGCTGGACAGCTCCGCGCTCTTCACCCTGACACGGCTGCACTCCCGTTCCGCGCGGTTAGATGTTGTTGCTCGCGCCGGCTCGCTCACACCTTTCCCTGCTCCTGCGCCGCCGCTGGCAGGCGGCTCGCAAGGAGGAAGCCTCCGGCCCGCCACGTGGCCGCTGGCGTTCTGGAGGCGCGAGACGTGGTCTCGCTCCCTGGCTCCACACACTGACCCCGAGCCCCTTCCGGCTTTCCCCTATATCCCCTGACCTACGTCACCAAGCCCCGCCTACAGCCACGCCCTCTCACGACCCTTCTAGATGGTTACTCCCCGGAGCCTTTGAGCCAGAGGTCGCAAACGGGTCTTGATTCCTTACCCGGACCCGGCCGCACCAGGGTCGCAAACGTGTACCCGTACCCGGCTGTACGCGTACCCTACCCGTACCCGGCCGGGTACGGGTATCGGGTACCTGATTGCGACCTCTGGGATGAAGCCATGTTGCAGGCGTGGGTGGGTTGATTCTAGGAACTTGAATTGTGAGAAGAGACAAGACGTTGGGAAATGAGTGACAAACAGTTACTCACCAGTGACTCACGGTCTACCCGTACCCAGCCGCACCAGGGTCGCAAACGGGTACCCGTACCTGGCCAGGTACGGGTAGCCGGGTATCGGGTAGGGTATCGGGTAACCGGTTGCGACCTCTGCTTTGAGCTCCGTCCTTGAACTTCGGCTCGTCCCTCTGATTAGTTGATGGCCCAGGCGGTGGATCCTATCCCAGCGATCGTCGGTGAACTCTCGTATTAAAGTGGTATGACTATTAAAGCCTAATTATTTGATGGTACTGCTTTGGCAGTGGTGCAAGAACCACAACTGGGCAAACCTTAACACATTGGAAAAATATGAAACAGGTGGTGTTTTCTGCCAATGCCCCTTAAATCGTGGATACCAGAGCACGTAGGAGGCCAACGTGCGAGGTATCTCTGGCCTGTGTTATGGAGAAGGGCCATTACCCAAAATATTGCTGATTGTCTGTTTTCCTTTTTTAAGGTAGTTTTATTGATGAATGTGAGTTTTAGTTGAAGCCAAATGTAATTTTGTGCATGCAGGATTCCCAGTGATACTTGTTCACAATAACTTTGTCACCGACATTTTATTGCAACCACCAATCTTTGCAACAGATTTGTTCTCCAGGACTAGTTTAATTAATTCTATGTTTTAAATATTCGGATTAATAGTCGTCGGTCTTTTTGTAAGTTGCAGCACTCGTGAGGGAGGTTTCCATTTGAAGCGAATTTTGAGGTTGTAGATTAATTTCTATTGCCCAGTGGACAAGTAATTTTAGGGGTTTTTTTTTCATGGCTGGATCATAAAATCTAGTTTTCCCAGATGTGGCTAATATAAGTACTCAAATTGTAAATGTTGTTGCTTCAACACACCGGTGGGCTAAAGCAGTGAACTATTTGTCTTTGTCAACGTGACACATTTTTACTGATTGGCCGTGTCGGGTGGTGGAGGGTTACGACACATTTATAAATAAACGCGATCTAAACCCAAAAATCGTTGATTATGAATATAATTTGTCCTATACTCAGAAGTTTTCTATGTAATAAATGTGCTTACAAGTAAATGTATTTTCTTCACTGGTGGTAATATTTATCAAACCTATTTTTTTAGAGAAGCTTTTTTTGTTAATGTATTACTTGTATCCCTTGGAGAGAAAAAAAACTGAAGTAAAATTACATTTTGTTAACATGATTCATGTTTTGTTTACTGCCAAGACTCAAAAAGCAATAACACGAATTAACATAATGTTGAATATTATATCACATTACCTTTCATCACTTTGAAGTGAATGCTTTTTAAAAATGTTTTGTTATGTTTTGAAGGGCTTTAAGGTGATGAGAATTGATGGAACAATAACGCATATCAGTGAAAGAGAGAAACGTGTCCAAACGTTTCAGAAGGACTCTGCATTCAATGTGTTTCTGCTCACTACGCAGGTAAGTGGAGTGTTACGTGCATTTTTTTCGAATATACCCATAGTTGGCTTCACCTGTTTTCAAGGGCAATACCAATTCACAATTGGTGGTGGGTGGTGGTGAACATCGGCCAAAGCAAATTAACATTTCTTTGTTATTTGGTTGTGTTAGTGATTTGGCACTTATACTATTTAAAATCACCTTAACTTTTCGATATTATTATGACTGATTTTGTAATATCTTTGCTCGCCAGGTGGGTGGAGTTGGGCTGACACTTACTGCTGCAAATCGTGTCGTGATTCTTGATCCGAGTTGGAACCCAGCAACCGATGCCCAAGCAGTGGATCGTGCATATCGCATTGGACAAACTGACAATGTCATCATCTACCGGTAGAGTTTGAGGTCTTGTGCGAGAAAACTTAACATATGTAACCTAGGGATGTTTATTTCATATGGCTTGTGGAAAATAAATGTTTTTAAGCTATAAAAATTTTGAATTTTGATTTTTTCTTAAGGGTAAGAGATATTCTTGACACGTTGATAATTACATTTTTTTTTTATTGTGTAACATTTTAGAGGGTAATGTCCAAGCCAAATTCATACATTTCCAGTATACTATACTCTTTGGTTCTTTCGGTAAATCACGTAGGTAGAAAAATAATAGATCACGACGTTTCGATCACAACACAAGCAATCGTCATCAGGTGGGACAACCACAGCAAGGAAAAACTGCTGAAGTAGGCGAGAGATTTGCCGTGGTATGAGGTTTACATAGGCCTCGGCAGTAGGGGGGAGAGAGAAGGGGGGGGGAGGCAGGGCAGAAAGTGGACTCTGCAGTAGCACCCGGGCCACTGGAGTGAAGTGGGCCACCGCAGCAGCACTGGAGAGGTCGGCTTCAGGGGGGGGGGGGGAGGAGGCGGGGCAGAAAGTATACTATTAATACATTATTAAGATAATCTTAATGGTACTTCATGTCGATCCTTGATTCTCTTGATCTCCCCAGCTTATCCCTCAGTCTACGCAACCTGGCTCTGTATATTACTATCTTCGCCAATGCCTCCATCTCATCCGGTACCATTGTCTTAGCTCTGAAGACTGCTGTCACTAATCCTGAAAAAAAAGACATTTAACCCGAACATCTCTTTAATACTCTGTTTGATCTCAAATCCCACCTTTACTTGGTGAGGTCCTCGATCGGGTTATTGTCTGCCCTTGTAACCGAACGCCTCTTCTAACATGATGAATTTTCCCAGTTCAGTCTAGTTTCTGCCAGGGGTATTTTAATGAAATTGCTCTCCTATGAGTGGTCGGTTATATTTTTTGGATTGGATCATAGTCTTAATTATCCTCAGCCTTTCTGCTGCTTTTGACACCACAAACCAACTCCCATTCTCCTTGATTGACTGAACTCATCTCTCTCTGCCTACCTCCCCCCTCTGATCTCATTCCACTCCAATCTATACACAGTCTACTCCAGGAACCAGACTTCCAAATCCCCCAGTCAACCTCAGAGGGAGGACACTCATTTTTGTCTGCTGTTCACATAGTCTTCTGTATAACTCTAGCTTTCCCCAGCCATTTGTGATGTTGACTCCATTGATCAACTTCTTGAGTCTTTTGGTAAAGTCACGTAGAAGGGAAATAATAAAATAATAAAAATAAACATAATCAAATAAAAATTATCACGACGTTTCGGCCACAACACAAGCAGCCGTTCTCGGGTGGCTTTACCGAAAGAACCAAGAAGATGAATCCCTGCAGTCACGAAAGCTTTAAATCGAAATAAAAATCCATTGATCAAGTTAAGGCTCATGCCCTTAATTTTCCTTTTGCTTATTGATGACTGTCTTTTCATAAATTAAATGTACCCATCAATGTAACGTACCCAGTGTTTTGAAACGCAGTCACATTTGGTTGCTATATAAATCCAAATTGTATTGTACCCAGCATTTTCTTGTGCAATAATGTTGTTTATTCATTGTCCCTAGGCTGATTACCTGTGGGACCATGGAAGAAAAGATCTACCGCCGCCAAATATTCAAGGAGTCTCTGATCAGGCAAACAACTGGCGATAAAAAAAATCCCTTCAGGTAATAGCTGTATTCCGTCACTCGCAGTACACCTATATTTTGACCCAGAGTGTTTTTGTCACCTTGGTTGCCAAAGAATCTCCCATTTCATTCTAGATTTGAGGTTTTCGTGACTGCAGGGATCCATACTCTTTGGTTCTTTCGGTAAAGTCACGTAGGTATAAAATAAATTAAATCACGACGTTTCGATTGCAACACAAGCAATCCTCATCAGGTGTGAAAACTACAGCAAGGAAATGTCTGTCTTGCCATTCAAATGAATCGAATTATTTGACTGCTTAAAGATTGTCCAGTATACCCCTTAAATTTTGAATGGAATGCAATAAAATCACCATTTTAAATAAATGTGAACTTTGGCACAATAGGGCATCGGCTATAGAATACCTATGCAATTCCTGCATCTCCATTAAAATTATGTAACGATTGCCACTAGATGGCATGCTAACCCTTTTAGAATAGTGTACCATTTTTTTGAATGGATAATATTTTAATATTGCTTATAGGAGAATCAAGGTTCCTGTAAAAAATCTCCCACAGTAGAACGTGGTAGAGGAGTAGGATTTCCGCAGGAATAGCTCAGCATAAGCTATTTCAAAGCATTTTTAATCGAAGTTCTTAAAATTACAACTTTTTTGTAACCGGTGAAAGGGCTGAAAGCCTATAAGTAATGAGTACAGGGACTCCGTCTACTTACGAAATGAGTCGGGTTCCAAAGGTTGGTCGTAAGTCCAACTTTACTCCTGTCGATTCCTCTTCATAAATCAGCTTGTAACAGGCAATAGCATTGTTAACAGATGTCAGCACCTGACTAAACCTTTCAGTGTTTGGCTCCTGAGACTCGAAACAAACCGGTGTTTGACACCGAACAATCGCTGCCATTTATTGTGCGGCGGTCGAACTTGCGACTCTCAGTCCGAGCAGGCAACTGGACATACAGACCAGGTTTGTTCATATCTCCTGAAAGTTCGTAAATCGAATGTTTGTAAGTAGTGGAACCCCCCCTGTGTCCTTGTTTTTGGCTGCTTTAGGTATTTCTCCCAGCAGGAGCTCCGGGAGCTCTTCATTCTTGAAGATACAAAATCGTCCAGAACGCAGATTCATCTTCAGGGCATGCATTCGGCACAGCGCAAGACTGACACTACTCTGGACGAGCACATTGCCTACCTCCATACACTGGGTAAAACTACCTTTTGTTTACCTCTTCATGAAGTGACTTAATTCCACTTCAGATTTATTTTGCCATTTTCCTTGCAACAAATATTCATCAAATTGTTAAAATGAGCAGATTTTGAGATGTTTAACTCTATAGGTAATTTAACCAATTCTGATATTTGTGTAAGCTAAAGATGTATAAGCAAACGTGCTAATTCTTTATAGAAATATTTTTGTTACATGTGACCTTGAAAATTCTCGCTTTGATATTGTAATGTGCATGAAAACGAATGGAGCAGTGCACAGTTAGAATGCACTTGGTTTGGCCCATCTTAGCAATGCTCGTTAGCGGCATGGTGTAAATTGTGGGAAAAATGGATGATCAAACGAATCCTTGACATTCACGACAGTTTATTCGGCACAAATATAACTCGGAATAATGCGATACATTTACACTTATTTCTAACAAAGGTTGCGATCCACAAGTGTTTTGTGAATATGCTATTTATTTCCCTTACCTTCAACTCGCATTGACAATATAAAAAAAAAGTAAATGCTAAATCGTTTTTTCTCTAGAACTAAGCACTGCTTTCTTCTCAGGACTCGCTTGTTGAAGCTACCATCCCACCTCTGCTTGACTGCGATTGTAGCCCACAGATCCGCTTCAAACACCCCTTAATACGTTAATGGGGTTTTTTTCCATTCAGCTCTAAGAGTCCCCGTATATAACTCATCACGGAGCTATTTTCTTCAGCTGATGAAACTCGGTATTGCATAGATATCGACACTGGTTGATCTTCATCTACAATGTTCTTAAATCCAGATCGGCTCATTGTGTAACTGACATTCTTCATCCATTCAAAACAAATCCTCGAAACATTAGATGCACTTGAATTCCTTTTGACCATTCCCAGGTCGAGAACTCAGACTGGCTCTCAGGGCCTTGCACAGCACCCACATATTGGAATGTCCTCAATCTTAATATTATGCATTTATCTTGAGCATATGTTAAGGCCCTGTTATAGGTTTACCTCTGCCACATTTTCTAATGCTGTAACCAAGCCCTGTCTGAGGCTGCATATTTGCATATGTCTGGGACAAGATTTTTGACACTTAAATTTGTTTTAAACGCTTGTTTGCATTCGATTTTGGCATTTCATGTACATATTTTTAGTTTCTGCGCATGTTGTTTGCACTTTGGATTATGGTCGTCTTTGTAAAAATACTTGCTCAGTGGGGCTCAGCAGTGGAAATAAATTCATATTTTATGTATTACATGTAGCAAACTTACAAATTTATGAAATTAACTCTTTTTTACAAGCGTTAAATGCTAAATTTGGGAGGGGAAAATGAACAATATTGAATTATTATTTTGGACTCTATGAAAGGAAGATTTTATAAACTGGCTCTTGCAGCTTTGCTGCTTAATGTTGATTGAATAAGTAGGGTTTTTTTACAATCATTAACTTTTCAAAATTAATACCATAAATCCAAAATATGCTATTGGTTTTTGATGGTGTATTTTTGTAATCACATGCTTTTTTCTTTTCTTTGTTTTAAAGACATGTTTGGGATCTCCGATCATGATCTTATGTACTCCTGTGAAGAAACGAATGCTGAGAATGTTGAAGAAGCAGGTGCGGACTACATTGAGAAACGGGTAAGGCACTTGAAGTGAGGGAGGCCTTGTTGCTGTTTTGTGATGAAATAAAAAATAATTTCTTTAAGTATCAGGTGAGAATATAATTTTCCTAAAATGGTAAATACAATGACTGTACATTTACCTATTCAAGGCAAACTACGAAATAATTTTTACAGGATATGCAATTCTTCTGTCAGATGTAAATAGCAACATTTACTCAGGCGGGATCAAGTTTTGATAGAAAGTCAGGAACATCGTCGTATACAAAGTTAACTTTGGTTATCATGCAGGGAAATATGATGCAAGGGGCAACTGTGAACGATATGTTCCATTGTTCGAGATTTGACAAAAGTAGTGTGCTGATTGTCTTTTAATCGCCACGTTTGCATCACATGTTTACATCATCCATGGGAAGTCCTAATGCGATTTTAATGATCACCGACTGCCGCTGGGATAGTGTGAAGCCAGGAGGTTCAACCGAAGGATATTCAGTTTGGTTCTGATGCCAGCAAGGGCCTCTGCTGTTGTCCGTTGGTTGGCATGATTTTATCCTCGCTGGTGGCAGGCGGGCAAGGTCTTTGTGGATGGGTAGTGTTGTGTTTGTAATGGCCTTTTTGTTTTCTTGCAACGTGGCATTCTCGCATCTGTTCAGCTGGGTATCGATCAGGTTCATGTGCAAGCTGCTTCCCCAAACTGCTGCGCAGTGCTTAGCTGGAGAGTATTTAAACTAAAGTATTATATTTGCAGGTAAGGCTCACTGAGCTATATAGCTCTTTTTCAGAAGCGACCTGGCCACAAATGATAGCTCAACAAAGTGGCTTATCACGTGGGTGATCCTCCTCCCATAGAAATGCACGTTTAGTGTGCTCTTTGGACATGGAACATGCAGTTGGACAGCATTGCCCTCGCATTTTCCGCTGCCAGTGCAGTAGCTGAGAGCTTCAGCAGGAGGCCCTTTTGCCAGACGGTGTCATAGTTGGCAGACAGGTCTGCACAGGCCACAGCCGTGTTTAATTTCTTCTCGTAGCCTATTTCAACACGCAATGCGAAATGTAAACACTTTGTCACAGCATCTTTTATTTCGTTTGAACCCAGCCTTCTTGGTGGTGTAACTCTCTCGTAAAGAGGGAGACACTCTTAAGAGCATGCATTGATTGCCATGTGGAATACACATTGGATATTTTTTTCAAAGGAGCCAATGAATTTGGCCACTTTATAAAATGAAGTCTAAAAAATAACGCCATCAGAAGGGCATGACCTTATCAAATCCACTATTGTGTGACTGTGTCGTTTGTTCATCTTGGTCACGGAACAGGTGCGCAAGGCACAGGAGATAATGGCAGCAGAATCCGAAGTGAACCAGCAGTTCCGCAAGCAAATTCTGGCCGGTACTGAACCGCCACGAGGCCTGGACACACATCAAGGAACAAGCAAGGATCGTACCAGAAAAAACAAAACAAAACCTGAACCAGGTAAGTCCTTGGTTCTTCTTGTCCAGTTGTACTATTGTCCAACACATTATACTGGTAGGAACCTCCTGGTTACACCAGCCCACAGGGGATTATTGTGTCCATCTGTCATGCATCCAAAAATGGGTGGGGAGGGGAGGGTGGGGAGGGGCTGGTGGGGAGGGTTTGGGGGTGGGAGGGGTGGGGCTGGGTGGGGAGGGGCTGGTCACCCCGTGGTGCCCTTATAAAACTCAACGTTTAACCTACTCACGCCGGCTTGTGCCCGCCTTCACAGTCGGGCATATTTGCGGTATACACCACGCCGCCGTTGACCCTGGCCATTGACCAAGCAACCCAACGTTCCTACCAGCTCCCTCCGCAGGAATGTGTTTTTATTGAGGCTAAATGCAACGATCTTAGTCCCATGGATGCACGACTGACAAACAGCTTTTATTTGAAAAGTTATTAATGACACCGTATTTTATCTTAACAGAGTTTGAGGATGAAATGGGATCTTATGAATCTCTGAAGGAGCCAAGCCACAAGCAGGAAGAAAATGACGTTATTGTAATCAGCCAGGATATGGTGGACTTGACTTTGGAGGATGAGGTTAGTAAACCAACAATGAAATCATGGATCCAGAAGTGTGCTATAAGGGATAGTAACTAATATAAGAATATTGCAGATGCATTTTATGAAAATGTAATTAGTTGGATAAAATGTTGGAAACTGAGAGACCTTTATGCCTCATCAACTTTGTAAAGTAGCTGACAATGATATATATTTCTTCAAGTAATTTTTTGCGTGTCAAACTTAGTTCGCATTGAATGTAGCCAACCATGCTAATGGGACGTTATTTCAATGCACATTTTTATTTGTTTCAATGCAGAGCCAGTAAATAAAATACAATAAAAATCTTTTTTTGCAATTGTTTGGAATAATGTAGGGGTTTAAATAGATATTTTTTGTATATCAGTTGAAAAGGGACATCATTGAGACTTTGAGCCTGTGTGTTGTCTGGCAGGTTGATCTGGCGAATCCGAACATCTCAAATATCGGAGCGCTTTCTAAAAAGTCCACCATAGAAGTTGAAGGTTTGTTGTGTGCTTCAAGTTGAACCTCATTTGTTGTCTGATGTATTTATTATCTTGTATTGGGAGTACTTACGGTCTCTCTTAACTATGGGTGTAATGGTGATGGTCTCAGAAAAAATCGTTAAATACTTGTATTGGTTATGATAAATGCTCATTGAAACCAATGCATTTCGATTATTTTTCAACCTGGGAACACGCTAAACTTTAACCAGGGTACTAATGTGAAAGTGCCAAAAGAAACACGCAGCCCTAAACTTGTTTCTGCTTTTGTTGGAGGATGAGAATGAGTCCCCTTCTCAGTTAATGGACCTGCACGTGAATCGGCTTGTTTGGGGACTTGATAGGAAAACCCCTAACAAAAGCTCTTTTGTTTCCCCAGCAAGTGCATTTAACCTCATCCTTGATAAAAGTGAGGAGGAGGAGGAAGAGGAAGAGAAGGAGGAGGAAAATGCTGTGGATGTTTCTCCAGGTACAAATTATTACATGCTTTGTGTAGGAATATGTTATCTCTTCAGGAAGCTTATATCACGTAAAAATGATTTTCACAATGAATATTAATATAAAATAAACTTTTACTTGACATCTTATTACGAATATTTGGAACAGAATGTAATTCGCTTGCGTGTTTTTTTTTAGCACATACCACTGGAGATGTTCATTGTGATACTGAAATCAACTCTATCTCCATGATAGAGGAGGAGTCCCAATCAGTCAAAAGCCATGCCAACTCGCTGTCCCATGTGGAGAGTGACATCCAAAGTGTCGCTTCGGAGCTGCGTTTGGCTGGACACAGCAAAGCGTCATTTAGTTCTGAATCCAGACATGAAGATGAAGATGACGATAATATAGTTTGTGTAAAAAAGACACGAATAAGGTTGGAATTGTCTTTTTTTTCCCCTTTGCATTTAAAAATTATGTTTGTCACCCTTAATATTTTTACATGTCCATTTAACATTGCTTTTCTTTCACAGGATTCTGGAAAGTAGCGATGAGGATGATGACGTACAAGAGGTTATGTCTGCATGCTTGACGAATCGTGAAAAAAGGTGCTCTTTTTAGATTACCTTGGGTCAAACCATGTACAGCACTAGGTAGTTGCTGACAGGTTGGATTTTTTATTTTTGAAAAAGTAAAATTGTGAGTTATTAAAATGGACCTTTTTTAAAGAATTCATGCGACCAGGAAACATTAATATTGTACTGTTGTAGGGAAATCCTGCATTTTCTCACTATCTCCTTGATTTTCAAATCCGGAAATAACAACCCCATGTCGTGTCATGTGGGTTATGGCTCATACTTCATTCACCATGGCGGTCAGTAAAGGGTTACCAAAGGGGTTTGGCAGGGACAAGATTGGTTCAGGTATTACACCTTACTAATAGTAGCCATGGCCGGTGATTGAGCTTGAGTTTCTGGGTTATAAATGGAGTGTGCTAACCACAGTGCCACCATGTTCTCCCACAGTTAAATACATAACAGTACCAAAAAATAAAACGTCTTTTTTTTAGTAAGTGTCGAAATGATATATGCATTTGAAATCATTGAGACACTTGGTGTGCTTAATGTGAATGTCACTTTTATTCTTGCTCTAATATCGCTGGGCTTTTTTACATCAAAAATTTGAGACGTATTTTTTGCGTGTTTTAAATTAAACTAAACATTGTTTTGACTGCAGCTTGACCCGATGTTAAGGTACTTTTTTCCATTTACAGACGAAGCCACACTTCGACTCCCACACGAGCAAATGTTCATGGGAACTCTTTACCTGCGTGCGAGGTTTGTTCAAACCAATAAGCCATTTCTTTGTAAACACATGGAATATCCAAAATCTCTGTGTATATTCATTCGTGGTGTAACAATGCCCTTAACACAATGACAACTATTGTATTATTTGCGTAATATTTTTCATGTTTTCATTCAGGTTTTGGCAGCTGAGCTTTCCTTCAAATTAAATCGACGGCGCTCAGTGTCATCTAATCTGTCCGTCTGCAAGATCTTAGATTCTGACCAGGTACAATCTTTGACAGTGCCTATTTAGAAGAAGTGTAGAGATGCGTCAACTGAGATTAGCTTCCCAACTATGTAAATTAACAGCCCACCATATTAAATGTGTATTAACTTGAGTAACATTTAGACAACTTAAATTTCGATTTAAAGCTTTCGTGACTGCAGGGATTCATCTTCTTGGTTCTTTCGGTAAAGTCACGTAGAAGGGAAGTAATAAAATAATAAATATAAAACATAATAAAATAATTCTCACGACGTTTCGGCCACAACGCAAGCAGCCGTCCTCAGGTGAAGACCAGGTCTGTCGAGGAGACAGCGAGACAGCGTCTCCCCCGACAGACCTGGTCTTCACCTGAGGACGGCTGCTTGCGTTGTGGCCGAAACGTCGTGAGAATTATTTTATTATGTTTTATTTTTATTATTTTATTACTTCCCTTCTTCGTGACTTTACCGAAAGAACCAAGAAGATTTAGACAACTTAATGCTGATAAAATGTTTGCAATGGTGCAAATGCACAAGTAATACAATTCAACATTTTTGTTAATAACATTTTCTAAAAGGAAAATGTACTCTATTTAAATGTATAATCACTTGTCTGGGGAACACATGCGAGTTAATTAGCAATTTTAGTTGTCGGATTATAATTTGGAAGTGCATTTAGAAAGGTGCATAGGTAATGCTTTTGTGTTAAATTGTGTGTTTAGTTTGGCAAAGCTTTGGAAGTCTCTTCTGAAGATGAAGATTCTCCAATAATGAAGATGCAGTTGTCAAACGATGTATGCAAAGGTGACTATTTCTATTTTAATTTCTATCGGTCATGTCAACCAATGATTTTAAAGTAGTTGAAAGCATTAGTTTTATTAATTTATTTCACTAGGTCTATAAAATCCATGTTTGTGAATTCCCTTTCCAGATGAAAATAATCTCCACCCATGCCACCGAGGAAATGTGGCGGAATCACCAGCTATTGACACGAATGATGACGTCGTGAGCTATCAAAGCAAAGACTTAGAATCTTCTGTCAGCGATTGCGAGTCTCGGAAAAATGGTTCCGCTACTCCTGTTGATGATGAGCCGTGCTCATTAAAACCAATGCAATTAGATGATACATTTTCAATGGAGAAAACGCCAAACTTTAACCAGGGTTTCAACGTGAAAGTGCCAAAAGACATTCACAGCCTTGGACTTGTTTCTTCTTTGTTGGAGGATGAGAATGAGTCCCCTTCTCAGCAGCTCATGGGCCTGCAAGTGAACAGGCTTATGTCTGAGACTCTGGAAAACACACCTCGCAGCTCATTTTCTTCCTCGGCAAGTGCATTTAATCTTGTCCTTGATGAGAGTGAGGAGGAAGAAGGAGAGGAGGAAAGTGCTGTGGATGTTTCTCCAGGTACCGATAAAAACATGCTTTGTGTAAGGTACATTTTCTGAGAATATTCTCGGAGTCCTAAATTGATAACAGTTTATTTTGCTCGCACTCTTCGAATGGTGTGTGTAAGAATCTGTTTCAATTTGTGTTGTATGTAATGGGTTGCTGTGCTTCCTACAGCTACTAGAGGTGCTACCATTAACCACGTTAACCACGTTAATGGTAGCACCTAGAATTTGCGAGGAGGAAAATTTTAATATATTGCTTGGTGCAGCATACTATTTCGGCCAATTTCATGTGCATACCCATTTTCATGCGTATTTGTTTACACCACACAACAAAATAATGTTTTAAAGTTAAAATCCTCCCTAATCAACTGCTCGCTGAGGTCTCCTGTAAAATCGAGTAATAATTCGAACGTACTGCTATTGATAATAAAAAAAAAGTGAAACAAAGTTATTCGTTTAATATTCTAAGTACAACTAATCTATTGATCAAGAATATCTCATTTTTTCAGGGAGACTAATTCTCTTAATTTTTTATAAAATAATTACATCAATGTAAAAAAAATTGTACTTGAGGTCTTGTTACTAATATTTGGAATGAAATGTTATTCTCACGTGTGTTTTCTTTTTTAGAGCGTACCACTGGCGACGTCAATCACGATACTGAAATTAACTCCATGATGGAAAATTCCCAATCATTTTTGACAAGCTATACAAGTTCGCTGTCCCATGTGGAGAATGACATTCAGAGTGCGGATGCAGCTTCGGAGCTGCCTTTTTCTGGACAGAGCCAAGGACCATTTAGTTCTGAATCCAAACATTATGACGACGATAGCATCGTTATTGTCAAAAGGACTAAAACAAGGTTGGAATTTCGATTTAAAGCTTTCGTGACTGCAGGGATTCATCTTCTTGGTTCTTTCGGTAAAGTCACGTAGAAGGGAAGTAATAAAATAATAAATATAAAACATAATAAAATAATTCTCACGACATTTCGGCCACAACGCAAGCAGCCGTCTTCAGGTGAAAACCAGGTCTGTCGAGGTGACTTTACCGAAAGAACCAAGAAGGTTGGAATTGTTTTTTTCTTTTGCATATCAACAGTATTTGACATTCTGAGTATTTTCGGTGTGCGTTAACTTTGCTTTTACTTTACAGAAGGATTCTGGAAAGTGATGGCGATGACGATGATGATTACAACGATGACGTAGAAGAGGCTACGTCTGCAATTTTGAAAAGTCCAATAAAAAGGTGCTCTATTTAAGATTACCATTAGGTCAGGGGTCGGCAACTAAAATAACGAGCCGTTTTTGTTATAATTTGGAACAAAAACCCCCTCTATCTAGAGCCGGTGGTCCTTAATAATGTCGTGAAGCAGTCCTTAAAGAGCTGCATGTGGCTCCGGAGCAGAATGTTCCTGACCCCCTACCCTAGGTCAAACCATGTACTGCATTATCCATATTCTTGGGTCTTTCGGTAAAGTCACGTAGATAAGTTGAAAGAAAATGACAAAATAACAAAAAACGACAACGTTTCAATCGCAACACAAGCAATCGTCATGGTCAATAAACCACATGGCATGGAGTTATGCTACAATATACATGTGTCAGGGTAATACATTAATTACATAACGATTGCCTGTGTTGCGATCGAAACGTCGTAGTTTTTTGTTATTTTCATTTAACCTATCTACGTGCCTTTACCAAAAGACCCAAGAATATTAATTCCTGCAGTCACGAAAGCTTTAAGGCAATGCATTATCCAAAATATAGGTTTTTGGGGATATATTGGTCGCGAAAGCCTACGTGTTAAATATACTGCATTAGTAATGCTGACAGGTTGAATTCGTTTTTTTAAACGTTAAATTATAAGTTATTAATGTTGATCATGTAAATATTTTTTTACCCTGACACATGTATATTGTAGCATAACTCCATGTCATGTGCCAGTCGGCGCAAGGTTCTTGAAAAGGGGTTGGGGGAGGACCAGGATAGGTTCATGCTGTTAACCCCACGGTGCTTACCGCTTTTTCCCCAGTGTTAAATATTTAACGCTGATTCACGTGTAGAGCACCAAAAGCATGCTTAATTTATTAAAGTGTCACTAATATAATATGGAGATGAAATGAATTGGATACTTTTGGTATGCTAAAAAGGTGAATGTCATGATTGTATTATTGCTGGAATGACTGGACTTTTATTTTTTAATTTTTCACATCCATTGCATGTTTTAAATGAAATGCAACAATGTTTTGACTGCACCTTGATTTTATATTAAGGTACTTTTTTTCATTTACAGACAAAGTAAGTGCTTCGATTCCCATACAAGCAATAGTTCATGAGAACTCTTGGTCTACAAACGAGGTTTGTTCAAGCCATAAGGCACTTGTTTGTAAACACATGGAATATCCAAAAGCTGTATATGCATCAGTGATGAAACAATGCCCCATATTCTCTATTTGCACCTTCCTTCAGTGCTAATAGACATGTGGAGCAAATACCCTTTTGAAAACAGGTCCTAGGATGAGTTTCCTTAGTTATGTTACGAAAAATATTTTGTCTCTTCCGTCAGCACTGCTTGCTGCGTGTTCTCACTTGTAAGCGCTGTTTATATTTTTGGATATTCTTGTTTTTTTAGTGAACACTTTCTCCAGGACAGAGCGCTATAACGAATTGGCGTTATACATGGCCTATGCTTGGCAAGGCTTGCCTGTATACAATAGTAAAAAAAAAAAATCATTTATTAAGTTCAGTTTTCCAAAGAACTCAACCTTCTGTCATGGGCCTCTTCATTTATTTATCTTTCTCTACATTTAGGTGTTTACAAATTTTTTTGGTGTTTTTCCAGTGGTCCTTCTGACAGAAATCTCCAATTTATTGGCAAACTTTTATTTTGCTCCTTTATCTTGAGCCCAACTTGGCAAACTTTGTTAAGGTCTTACATGTTTTCCTGTTACATTCGAACTGGTCATGACATCTTTTTCAGAAAATTTTAGATGGTTAATATTTTCCTAATTTATATGTATGCCTTCTACAATTTAATTTCCATAAAATATATTTTGTTCCTGACTTAACTTTCCTGACTGCAGGAATTCATATTCTTGGTTCTTTCGGTAAAGTCACGTAGATAGAAAATTAAAATAAAATAAAATTTCATTAAAAAATAATGAATTGAAATTAATAAAAGCAAAAAAAACACGACGTTGCGAACGCAACACAAGCGGTCTTCATCAGGCGGAGAGAAGAGAAAAAATATTTTTAAAACCCATTATTTTTTATTTTTTGTTTCAATTTTATTTTATTCTTTTAATTTAGTTTTCTATCTACGTGACTTTACCGAAAGAACCAAGAATATATTTTGTTCCTGTAAATAACTTCAGCTAGTGTCTTCTTGTCTAACTCTCCGATAATATAATAGTTTAGTAAGCATAAAGGTGTTGAATTGTCATTTTTATGCTGGTAGTTATTGTGCATATATGCCATATTTAAAGGTTATATGCAGACTAATTTATAATTAAATATTCCTCTGTAATAGTATTATATTCCAGTAAACAAGTCAGCAGTTCTCCTGCTGTGTTGGTGTCACCTGATGACGATTGCTTGTGTTGCGATCGAAACGTCGTGATCTATTATTTTTCTACCTACGTGACTTTACCGAAATAACCAAAGAGTATGGATTCCTGCAGTCACGAAGGCTTCAAATCAAGTTAATCTCAGTAAATATGTTCAGCATGAGTACCTAATTTAATATGTAATTACATTTATTAAAGTAGGTAAGTGGGGAATATTGTCAATTTTAATTTATTAAATTAAAGTGAGATTTTGTGGCCGAGTGGGCTACAACGTCCAAATTTTGAGCTGACATTGAGATCCTGGATTCGTATGTTGAAAGCTGCTCATTATTACAACGGTATTCAGCTGTAGACCGTTAGTTGTCTCAGCCCAGTTGGCAGTGACCTTTGTCGTCTTCCTCTGCTAAAGTGACCTGATCCTTTTGAGATTTAAAACAAAACTCACTGACTTACTACATTGCACAGGAAGACCCATCACTGTTCAAATGTGTTTGGAGTCATACCAGAATATGCATTTGTAAATTAAGTTTTTGTGTCCTAAATCCATGCATAAAGGCATTGTATAAATGTAAATGTGTGTCGTGAACTGCAGACCACCTGTATTTTTTTTCTAAATTTGAAAAAACTTTTTTTCTGACAAAAAAATACATAAAATCAACATTTTATTGAATAAAAATGTTTAACATTTTTGCGCTTCAAAAAATATGCTTAAAAAAATCCGGACAGAATAACAGACAAACTCACACTTGCTCCATTATCGTACGATTTAAAAATGGGTTCTATTCGAAGGGTAAATGAATCCAGAAGTAATTCAATTGCTCAGGTTTGATTGCTCTCTTGAAGAACATGTTCTTAATGAAAGCACTGTGATAGGTTCTCAATTTAATATCAACCTAATGTGAACATTTTTTACTTAAATCATTCGGGTACAGCATCCAAGGTGCATCCATTCCATGTAATCTCCCTGAATACAAGTACTTGGAAACAAAGACTGTTGGGTGTCGTGCTGGCCACACCACCCTCTCTTGCACTGTACCAATATTAATAGGTGCGAGTCAAGGGCATTTTTGTCCCAGCAGTCTATCATGCTATGCAGGGGATCATTCCCTGTTGCTTATGGTATGGTGTGGGTCTGTATATAATGCTTTTTTAAAATGTACCAGACCAAACAGCCTCGTACAGAACTGTCTGAATCTAAGACTTTTTTTGAGAAATAAATACCATCATTAGAGTTATGGTATTATCCTAAGCACCGTTTTATAACTTTATACACATTTGATAAATCGACTGATACAATCATATATTTTTTACAGGAGACGGAAGATAGTAATCTTGAAGAAGATAGTGCGAGTAAAGAGGAATTTTCAATTGAAGAATATACAAAGATTGAGCCTGAAAAGAATCGGACTGCAGAGTCTAAAGATGCCGAGGCATATGCGACTTTAAGAGACAGTGATTCGAACTTAGATTTGTCAGACTTTTCTAGCGAAGGTAAGCCCATTTTCTTTTGATGTTCAAACTGTGTCATGGCTTTAGTATGACCACTTGTGTTATTGCACCTGATTGGCAGTTTGCATTTCCCTTTGCTGGAGGGGTATGCATTTTTGCAGATTCATGTCTTGTATAGTGGACATTTTAATTGCTTTACAGGGGTGTCATAAAGTCCCTATTTTATTGAAATCAAAGCCGTTTAGGGTAAATTATGCAATAATATGATCAGAGGTATATTTATTAATAACACTTAAGCATTGGATTCTACACGAGCACCATCAATATCTCTGCACGGATAATTTGTCAGCTGCATTGCGGAATACAATTTGCAGCATCTGTCACGTTATTATTTTTGTAACTGTGCCACTCTCATCAGATCTTGCCGATCTGTTTGATACACCTCCGACTGGATAAAGTTCCATGCAACGAAAATCCGAAGGGGTTGAATCCGGAGATGGAGCTGTCCCAGGGCCAGTTGCCGCTGCATCCAATCCAGAAATTTGGAATACGTTCATTAAGCTACTCCGGAAATGTTTTACCCCTATTACGCGTTCGTGTACATTTCATATTAATAGGGTCCTGAAATGAAAGATATACCATTTAAAATAGATAGGGACTTCATGGACAACCCTGTATTCGTGTTTAAAAGTTGTCAGTACAGTAGTAATTTACAGTGAATAATAAACAATTATAATTTCTAGTAGCTGATTAGCAGGGAAAAGTATTTGCTTTTTGAAAGTTGTGGAGCTGTGTTGTCATTGTAAAGAACACCACTTTAGCTTCACAAACTGCACAAGGTAACGCATGACTTGCTGGATTTCTTCTACTTTTAATGAGTGCTTATTTCCACTTTGTGGAATAAACCCGGCAAGTAATGAGTCTCAAAATGTTTTACCTTCATTTAACGTTTTGCCATTAAAAGTGTGTGAATTGATATTTCACTGTTATTAGTGGAATGTTGTACCTGTGTGTCGGTGATGGTGCCTGGTGTAATACAAATAGAATGTTAGAATTATTCCTTGTAGGATTAGCTGCTGTTTGCAGAGAATTAAACACAAAATCACACGTGCCCCTTCTGGCAGAGGTTGCCTCGTCTTGTTATAAGATGTAGCCATCACAACATAACATAGCTGTAATGAATTTGGATTTAAAACTTTCCCTTCTACGTGACTTTACCGAAAGAAGCAAGAATATAAAGCTGTAATGGTTAACCAACT